TAGACGTGGGGTCCACAAGTCACTTTCCTTCTTTTTTCTTGTTTGGATGCTAACTGAAAAACAAGCAGAAGTAGGATGTGTCACGAGTTGGGCTGATGTGTCAAGAAAACTGGAATCACTCCGAAATAGAGCGATTTTGGTTTAAAGCTGACACTATGTCGGAGAAAAAAACACATTACCCATTAGCATCTTATGGTTCTCTCTCCCTTCCTTTCCCTAGGCTTAACATAGCCCAGCGAACTAGGCTTCTTCGGCACATGCTTGAGCCTGCTGGAGCTGCTGTAATAATAACTCCTCACGCTTTGCATTGTATTCCCTCATTTCTTCCATCTGCTTCAGCATTTGATCCTCATAGAGTCAACTTGCCTCAACCAAAGTCTTGACTAGCTCATCACCTTAGTATTTCCTTGTTCATTGCTCGTACCTGTTCCCTTTGCCATGTCTTACACTAGCTTCCTGAAATTGGGATGAGAACCGTAAGGATTTCAAGGAATAAGAATCAAGGAATTGACACTGAGATTGTGACGGCGTTCGCGTTAGATTTACATTGTGATTGATTGGATGTTAATACCCTGGGCTCCGATACCTATAAAACCATGTCACGCCCCAGTGAATAATAATAAATACTGGAAAATGACCTGGCCAACAGAATATTTATTGAGAGAAAGGAAACTCCTCATAAATACTTTAGTTGCTTTTATACATCGCAATCATTCACGATATTTACATCTCAGGTACAATCTCAGAATAATCCAAACACAACATACAAACAATCTCGGAATATCAAAGCGGAAACAAATAATCAAAAGGCAGTCTCAATCCACTGATAAAGTCTAGATAAAATCTCCAAGAGTAAAAAAAAAAAATCAGATTCAATGGTTCAGCTTGAAAAGGCCACACTCTAGATAAATAAAATCTTAACAATGGTTCAAAAGAAAATAAACAAATGATAATGACTTTTTTTGGTGGACGCATGATATCTACTTGAATATGGCCTGCTTATTAAAACACGTCTTATCTGCTTCATTAGAAACTTTTCTTTACCTGACATGTAAATCCATGAGGGTTAGATATTTGTCTAAGCGAGCAACATAAGATCAAAGAAAACTGAATCAATGGTTAGCTGATATCGAATAATACTAATCTTATCCGCTAGACAAGAAATGAATAAGAACCAATAAGCATATGATAAATAAAAAGTTGCAAACGAATCATATGCATGGTTGTAATGTGTATTTGTCATATTTGCATGCATAAAAAGGATTGTTAGTTAACGCCCTTGTTTTGAAATGAGCAAGAAAGTACCCAACTCACTTAAGGTGGAAAAATATAAAATGGTTGTTCCCCTTTTCCACCCACCTGGCCATTAAATACCCAGCCTCGACTGAGTCTCACCTTAAGGGAATAGAATACTATCACAGTATCACTTATTTGCCCAATACCCTGATGATTTATTGTTTTGTACGTGCAATGTTTTGTACTAGTCCTGGTCCTGCGAGTGCCGAACCATCAGTTAGTTAATACTATTGTCCCTGTCACGTAGGGGATCTGCCTTCACGAACGGTCATATGTCAGTCCTAAGGAGGGTTGCTTGTAGCCTCGGAAATAGATTACTAAATCCGTTTATATGTACAATTAAGTGATGGGCATAATCCTATGTATAGAATGTATGACCTTTGTGATAAGATCCCATGACAGGTGATTTATTCTAAAGGATAAATCATCGTAATAATGTAAATTTGTGGCATAGGGTGGACAAAAGTTCCATAATATAAGTGTAGTTGTCATGAAAGATCAATACAAGCGCTTATAGCAGATATGAAATGAAGCAATTTTCAAAACCGGGTGAAAGTCAACTCAAAAGAGGCATATTGACTTGTACCGGAGGAAAGTCAACTTTGATGTGTCACACAGTAAGTTGAATTTCAAAGTGTATGGAAACCTCGAATCAAAATATGAGCAAGTTTCAGAGTCAGCAGCAAAATAAACTTTGGTCTGACAAAAGTCGACTGTCGTAGTAAAGTCGACTTTCTGTTAGGCCGAGTTGACTTTGAGTCGATTTTCAGTATGCAGTCGATTTTTCTCATTTTTCGTCGTCATTCGTTCCTTAGATCATCATGCGATATTTGGGACTTGCTTAGGACCAATATACTTCAGTATTCAACAGGTTTTACCGAGTTGAATGTTGAAGAGAATTAAGGTTTTGACAACGAAACTAGGGTTTTGGGATGTAGATTTCCATGTAAATGCTGTTCTTTCGAGCTTCTGAACACTACTAGAGATTAGATCTACTGTTAAAACGAATTAGTACAACCCTAGAACAAACCTTTGCGGATCTACATCAAAAATTTATAATATGAGAATTATGGTTTAGTAATCAAATGAAGATTTTGTAGAAAGAATATGAAATTAACAATGTGCAAGGGGATAGAGCCATTTGCCTGAATTGTTGGGTTGCAAATTTTCCTCTTCCTAGTCTTCCTTGCTGGTTAAACCCGCCCTAGTGAAGAAATCCTGGCAGAATTCGGGGAAGTGGAAAAGGATGAAGATATCAGATAGAAGGGTATTAATGGGAGAAGTGTATATTTGCTTTCATACCCTTCAGGGAAATATGTGCAAAATCATCAGTTAAACTTCGTTTTGCATTCTTGAACCATCAAACTTCATATTTACATATTCTTTCTAATTTATCGTTTCTTTCACGTATATTGCTCCAAAAGTAAATTAGCCGATAAATAGACATTATTAGCACATTATGCAAAAATTTGGGGCTTTACACTTCATTTGCGGGTCAATCAGCTTCTGAAGTTCGATCCAAGCAACAAAGGTAAATTCAATCTTTTGTAAGTCCCTTATTTATTAATAGGAGACATCATCCCTGAGCTCTGGATGGGTCTTCATTCGTAGTTGTAGGTCATCATGGGTTGAAGAACCAGTTTCTCTTAATCGTGAACTGAATTCCAAACTTCTCATGATGAAAAGATAAAAATCAATGTGCGACATTATTTTCTGGAAGTAGTTTGATGTTGGACTTAGTTGCACTTCGTCACTTATATGCTTGTAACATTAAGTGACAGCAGAGTACATATGACTCCATCATAATATAGCTTATGGAACTAAATTTCCATCATAATATCAATCTGGAGCTTTTTATCTTTCTTGTGGCCAGTGAATATATATTATTCCAGTAGTGTTCCACCTCACAAACAGACAACACACTTAATGAGTCAATATTCCCACCTAACACGCACCCTAGAACATCAATCACATGGTATGGGTCACCTGACACTCACCTTAAAACGCCAACCACATTGTATGGGTCACGCGGGTCACTATGGTCGGGTAAGGGTTACCCATTTAATAATTGTGTCGGTTATCTTGACCTGTTTATTAAACGGGTTAGCTTCCTGTCAAGCTTATATGGGTCGAGTCAATTTGATCTGAAGTGACCTGACCGACCCAACCCATTTTCCAACTGAAAGCTCATCATGTGGCAGTGTCTGAGAACTCCTGGCAAGCTTTTCAAAAGTTAGTTTTCAATGCGACAAATGCATACCTATTACTTTGTTCTGCCACTTTAAATTTCACATTGTATTTTTGATAAACACGGATCTTGAGCTCATTCCTGATCCTTTTTTTTCACCTTTAATTTGCAGGGTGGGAAAGGCTGAAAGCTGTCATTGTTATGCTTTGGTCTTTGGTGAATTGACGTAAAGCTTTCATGGGAAAAATTGGACGAAGCGGGAGATTTCATCAGCTCTGTTCGTCAGCTTTCTTAATTGTCTAACCAGCACAGGGCTGTATCAACCTAAAGGATGCGGAAGTATATTTTGTCTGAACAGAAGTTGCTCCCTTTAATTATGTTTCAAGAAACTAGCCCGAGGTATAAGGTGTGTTTTATCTTTGGTAGTCAGGTTCTTGATAAAATCCCTCTGTTATTGTGCTTTAAATATGGTATGTATTGGTTTGGTGTATTGTACTTGGGTCAGTTTCAATTGCAGGCAGTTTTTTCATGACAGGCATAGACCTTTTTGGTGATCTGGGTTAGTATTACAGAAATTGGATTGTGATGGGTGTTGAGTGGAAATTGTGGTGTGACCATTAAGCTAGCTTTCCTTAGATCTGGATCTGGATCCTCTCTGCTGCATCTTTAGCAATAGAAGTTAGTATTATTTGCTTTGACTATTATTTGACAAGTTTTTCATCTTTTATTTAAGGAAAAAATAGTAGGTATGAAATTGGCTGTTTTGCTGGTTGGTCACAATGGGCAATCGTTTGTAGTTATTTCTCTCTATTATTTATCTCTGTCATGCCACTGCGTCTTTCATTGTTTGTATGTGCAATTTTCATAACTTTCACTTGTAATTGTATTATTATTTTTTCACTTGCTTATTGATAATTTCTTTCATTATCGGCAATTCATGTAACTTGAAATTTTTTTTTATGCAAGTGGTGTTGGTTTACACATAATATCATTGTTTTATCTAAGAGGTACCTGTAATCTAGACTATAACTTCTAAATCTTTCTATTATATGGTAGTGTTAGTTTGCACATATATACTTGTATTATCTTTTGTGTCTAAGATGTATGCATAATCTAGATTTTATCTATTTGTTTGTAGGGGTGGACAAAAATATTTGTATCCAAAGTAAATATCTGCATCCACGTCTGTTTGTGTTTGCTTGAATGCGCGTGTGTGTGTTTGTGTGTATATATATATATATATATATATATATATATAGAGCAAAACTTCTGTCAACTTAAGTGGACGTCCACTAAGTTTCTTATCCATTGATGATTACTTGATTGAGCTACATTGTGGATGATCCGTTCCGTTCAACTTGATCTACATATTCTAAAACCCCAACACACCAAATTTGGTGTGAACTCGTTGTGGTTTGACCCTCCGTCGAGCCATGTAAAAAGTTCTATTCACTCGAAACCGTTAAAATTGATACGAGTGGATGAAGGGTCAAACCATGACGGATTCAACCCAAATTTGGTGTGTTGGGGTTTTAGAATATGTAGATCAAGTTGAACGGAACGGATCATCCACAATGTAGCTCAATCAAGTGATCATCAATGGATAAGAAACTTAGTGCGCACGTCCACTTAAGTTGACAGAAGTTTTGGCTCGTATATATATATATATATATATATATATATATATTATATATAGAATAATGAGGTGAGCTGACAGTATTCCCATCTCCTCCATGAGGCCTGTCAACGTGTATTGACCATGCTGACTCCCGACATTGTCATACACTTGCAGGCTCACGGGGAGGTGTTAGCCTGCATCAGCTCACTCTATTATTCTCATATATATATATATTATATATATATATATATATATATATATATATATATATATATATATATATATATATATATTATATATATATGCAGAAATATGTGCATTTGCTGGTATGCTAAGCAGCAATTTTGTGGCTTGGTAGTGTAGTTGGCGAGCAATCCCTCCACTCATTTCAAATAGAGGACCACATTATACATGGGTTGAAGGGTGCATGCTGCGATATGCCAACCATTTGAATGAGTAGACGGGGCGATTTATGCCACCTCACTTAATACAAGCACAACCTTTTTGTGCTGTACCAAGCATACACCATCTCTCCTCTCTGCTCTCGTCTCTCTATATATATATATATTTATATACGTATATATATATATATAATATACTATATATATATATATATATATATACTATATACGAGAGAGAGAGGCAATATGGCGTATAGCTTGGCTACCCAAGGCACAAATTTTGTGATTTAATGTATATATATATATATATATATATATATATATATAATAGTAGGTGAGGCTATATATATAATTACTTATCTATATATATATATATACGACGCAGTAGACGAGAGAGCAGAGAGCAGAGAGAGAGAGACGAGAGAGAGAGAGCCAATCATGAGCCGTATCGCTTCGGCTACCCAAGCACAAATTTTGTGATTTATCATATATATATATAATATTCAGGAAAAATGCTCGGCTAAGGTGACGCCTTAGAGAATTATGCTAAGGATGCTAGCCTAAAATCACATGATTAAGCTACATTATGAATGATCCGCTCCGTTAAACTTGATCTACATATTCTAAAACCCCAACACACCAAGTTTGGGGGTGAACACATCGTCGTTTGAGCCTCTGTCAAACCATGTGAAAAGTTCTATTCATTCGAAACCGTTAAAATTGATATGAATGGATGAAGGGTCAAACGACGACGGATTCACCCAAAACTTGGTGTGTTGGGGTTTTAGAATATGTAGATCAAGTTCAACGGAGCGGATCATCCACAATGTAGCTCAATCATGTGATTTTAGGCTGCGTCCTTAGATGACTATTTAAGGTGTTACCTTATGAACACTTCTCCCATATATATATATATATATATGAGAAAAATGGGTATGCTTGGTAAGCATTAATTTTGTGCTTGGTAGTGAAGTGTCATATTTTTATCAATTCATTCCAATTTCCAACTGCTCTCCAACCCATGTGAATGTGGGTTTCGATTTCAATGAGTGAAGGAGAATATATTATCTCACTATCAAGCATAAAAACTTGTGTTTGGTACCAAGCATACCTATTTCTCTCTCTCTCTTTGATGAGTCATTGCATGACTCATAAGTTGAATCATTATCATTGATGTCATGACAAATCCCTCTCTATAAATATGAGCTCTCTCTCTCTTCTTATGGAAATTAATGAAAAAATTGGTTTTCCATAAGAGAATAAAAGAGAGCTCTACCTCTTACTAAACTCTAGCTATCTTTGAGTCAGAGGAAGTAGTAGGATTTTAAGAAACTCGGGGTGGATACCTTGCCTTGTGCCTCAAGAAGCCTCTAATTTTTTCACGTTCACTTGAAGTTTTGGAGATTCACTACCAAGGAGGTTTACTACAACAAGGAGAACGAGCTAGCGGTTGTTAAAACTTCCATCAAATCACGTTACGAAAGTAAGCTTTCAAAACTCTTAGATGCTCTCTTCATTATAAGGATCATGTTAGATTTAATTAGGATGGTCTTGGTGTGGATTTCATGCTTTCTACATGCTTAGTAATTTTTGTACATATAGTCTTCCGCTACGTATTTTGCATGTAATTAGCACGAATTTCCTTCGAAAGTAAGCTTTCAAAACTCTTAGATGCTCTCTTCATTATAAGGATCATGTTAGATTTAATTAGGATGGTCTTGGTGTGGATTTCATGCTTTCTACATGCTTAGTAATTTTTGTACATATAGTCTTCCGCTACGTATTTTGCATGTAATTAGCACGAATTTCCTTCAACAATGACTCCAGCCAATACT